GTTATTCAATGATAAACTGTTAAGTTGTTTATTGTTGATCAGATCTTTTAGTTTTATTCCCACAAAATAATTTGCTTATCGTATGCCTTACTTTGATATGCCTCAAAAATATAAGAGACTATCTATTACCTTGTCAGTAGAACTGTATGTAGCATTGGCACCTTTAGCTAGTAAAATTTCAACTATTTCAAGATGTCCTTTCTTTGCTGCTAAATGTAAAGGTGTCTCATTACTCTATCATAGAATACATTTTATATAATACTATTCCACATGGTAGCAGTAAGTTACTAACTTCATTGATACATTTGATATCAGCATTAGCTTTAAGGGCATTCAATACACGCTTCTGATCCCCATCTTCTGCTGATTGTAACAGTATGTCTTTCTAAAAAAGATATTTATCATTAATGGATGCTCCAAAAATGATCAAAAATGATATGCAACAGCTTGATAGCCTATGACAAGTAATAATTTATTCACTAAGCCAAATCACAGAGCTATACTTAAAGCTCTGCAAGTTCTACTCAGTTATAAAAAATATAGGTGCCTGGATGAGTAAACAGAAGACTTACATACCTTCTGTTACATGAGGAAATAATGATCAATGAAGTATTATATATTATAATGCTATAATATCATAATATTATGTTGCGTATGCATATTACAATACGTATGCAACATGATCAACAACAAAATAATAATTAATTGATCAGCTTGATTGTCAGTAACAAATAATTTTACTACGCCAAATCACAAAGCTATACTCAAATTCTTCTCGTACTCTTGATATGGGTGCCTGGGTGAGTATGCAGAAGAAATATGTTGCTTTGATTAGTAACACCTGCTATACATGATTGATTAATGATGCTTCAAGCTCACTGACTCCCTCTCAAATATTTCAAATAATGGATAAACACCTCATACATAGGAAGTTAAACTTGTCATAACAAAATTATCTATGATGAATTCAATTATTGACCCAGTATGACAAAACCATAGACAAAATCAGGCGACTACATTGGCAGTGAAACCTTAGGATGGATATGCTATTGGTACAATACCCACCGCAAAAAGTATCTTATCAAGATTCAGATTTTGTCAAAGCTGTATTATAAAATTTTTTCTCCATTTTATACCAAATTTACTCATAAAAACTACAAATGATGCTAAGTTCACAGTATATAGACCTTTCTCTTTGCAATGCTGCATGTAAATAAATGAAATAATGCAAGGTACAATTGATGGCACTTGCATATACTCATTTATATTTCTTTATGCATTAATTGACTAATTGGCATTGGAAGTATTGGCAAATACCAATGATATCATGGCCAGGGCAAAAAGCAAGAAAAAATAATCCCGGCTTATTTAAGGAGAGTATAAACTTTAATTTTCAAATTGGCATGCCATGCATAACTAAGCCTTGGTTTTACCATATCATGCAGATCACATATACATAGTGCATTACATAAATGGGATTGATAGCAATGTATACCTATACAGACTACAAACAACTCTCAGCCCGCAAGGCATACTGCCAGTGACAATATGTTCAGTGTGCAACAAAAGGCTTAAATTATGGGAGCATAATTCCAAAAGCCAGTAGCAATATTCTTAGTTAATTTTAACATTGCCATTATACCAGCAGAAAACTCTAATAGCTTAATTTAACTCCTTTTGACTTCAGTGGCCAGATAAACCGCTTTTTTATTGCAAAGTGACTAACAGTTATATAAACAAGTATTGGCTGTGAGTCTGTTTCATACCATCGGAATGAAGATCATATTAATACAACAAACAAGTGAAACGAGAGGAAAGGAGAGACAGAGACAGAGAGCCCATATTACAATGAATCACCACATGCATACTGAGCATGCACATTATAGGTACACAAATATACACACAATGCCAACAATGATGTCCAGTCACTTCATTACACCATCAACTTTTTTGTTCTCAATGACAATATGCCTAAGTAGTCAACCCAAGCAACTTAGTCTAAACACAACTTAATTCATTGTTGTAACTACATCAGTGATACTTACAGGAGCTAATTCTGCCATTGCACCAGCTTTTTTTTTTTCAGCAGGGGCTGGGCCGAGACTAGCAGCATCCAAAAGTTGCCAAAACCATCTAAAACCCAATAAAAATCCCGGGATGCAGCTTCAGTAACAATTACAAACTGTGGCACCAAACAGGGGCGTAGGCAGGATTTTAGGAAAGAGGGGGCAAACTAAACGGCGCGCGAAGCGCGCCTCAAAATTTTGCGGAACCACGCCCTAGGCCTTTTAGGACGTGACCACACCTATTTTTCAATATGGCGGACTTTAAGAAAGATCATAGGCAACGTTAAATACCTCTTCAGCTTCATAATGGCATCATAGAAGAAGGACTGATTTAGCCTTTTCCTTTCATATGTAAGTTGTAGAACAGCTTTTCCTTCCAAAAGTAGCTTATTATTTTGTTAATTTTAAATTTTGATTATTTTGTTAATTTTAAATTTTGAAAAAGGGGGGCATTTGCCGCCTTGCCCCCCTGGCTACACCCCTGCCAAACTAGTCAGGCGGGCCGGGCCTGACATCGACAGCACGGATCTAGGGGGGGCCAGGCCCCCCCAAAAAATTTTTCTGGTCAAGTATAAAATTAGTTTTATCTATGTAAACTGTGAAACAGCTGCAGTACTTGACTGTGTAAACAGTCTGTAAACCACAAAGGAGTTCATTTAAGAGGCCTCAGTAATCTTCAAAATTTTGACTTCCCAAATGAAATCCTGCAGGCCTAGTTGACCACACCCACTAATTACCCCACCCATATCATTATGGCCCCCCAAAAATTCAATCCTAGATCCGCCCCCGACTAGCACCAAACTTGGAGTTGAGACTGGTTGTACATATGGCCGTATTTACTCTAAATAAACTACGGCGCAAACTGCTGCAGAAATTTTTACCCTCAAAAATTAAAATGGAAACCTGGAACCCTGTCACTGAGTGGGCCGGCCCCAGAGCTCAGGTGGAGACTGGAGAAAGGAGCGGAACCAAACATTGCTGTCTCTCTGGTAGGCAGAACTAAGCGAAGATGTGATGCCATACTAGGTACGAGACTATTCCCCAATCAGTTTAGTCCATTTCAGGTAATGGGTTCTGGCATAGTCAGTGGGGGTGGATCTAGGATTTAATTTTTGGGGGGCAATTATGATATGGGAGGGGTAATTAGGGGGTGTGGTCAACTAAGCTTGTGCAAAACTTTCAGGGAAGTAAAAATTATAAAGACAAAGCCTGTTAAAATGAGCTCTACTGTGGTTTAAAGATTGTTTATACTGTAGTCCAGTACTGCAGCTGCTTCACAGTTTACATAGGTAAACCAAAGTTTACATAACTCCAAAAAATTTTTGGAGGCATTGCCCTCCCTGGCCCCCCATAGATCCGCCACTGGCCTGGGTAGATTTCCATCAAGGGTCTGCATGAATAAAGGTAGATTCGAAAATTTCATGTTAAAAATAATTGATGTGATGAATTTTCAAGGTGTTATGTTGGTTGATCCTCACCCAAAAATTTTTTGGCTTGAAAAATTTTGGATGCATCGCTACTCCAGGTTTTCCATCAAAGCATGTTAAGGAGCTAAACAGCATGCTTCATAAGCACTACAGTGCAGTACATAGCATTTGGAGCAAATTTTAAAATTTATACCAAATACAATTTTGATTGCTGCGAGCACAAGTGTCTACGTAATTTTACGTGTCAGATAAAGTTATAAAATGAAGAATTATCTCCTAACCATTTGATACATGACATTTGGCCAATATCCCCTTGTACAGATAGGTACAGGGTATTTTTGAGCAACTTTAAAATTTATAAATAATCCAATTTTGATTATGCATCAGGAAAAATTATTGAAATGAATTCTTTTGCAACCATTTTCAACGAAAACATGGCTGTAGACCTCCTAGGTTCTAAGACTATTTTCAATGAATCATTTACGGTAGCCATCCATGATTAAAATTACTGACACCAAGAAGCTCTCCACATCAAAGGCAGATCAAGGCCCAAGATGCCGAAATGAAGCATAGTAACAAAACTATGCTGCAGCAAGAGTTATCTGGTCTATATAGTCTGGCCTCCATACTTTCCATAAATGCTGCTTGTGAGCCTGTAGTACCTTGTAGCACTCAGAAAAATGGCCAGGCGGTGTCACCACCTTCGATTTTTTTGATATTGAGGCCTTCTTGCCATTAGTAGTTTACATTGTGGGTGGATAGGAAAAAATTTATTTATTATGAATGAATATTATTATTGTAATCATAATTATTCATTAAAAATAGTCTTAGCTCCTAGGGGGTCTATAGCCTTTACAAAGCAATCAGACATTTTCTGACCATTTGCTCAATTTTCCAACTAAATTCTGCATTGTTTGTTTGAGCAACATAATTTTGAAATTTTATTAACAGCAATTTAACACCATAACTGACAAACACTACAATAGAATACATGGCATTTGGAGCAACTTCTAAAATTTATTTTAAAAATCCAAATTTGACTGGATTGAGTTTAAAGTTGATACACAACATAAGGACATGTATATGTTATAGAAAAATTATAAAAATGGAGAATTCTTCCTAGTCATTTTTGACAAAATTTGGCCAAACTGTACAGTATAGTACACTAAGTACAGGGTGTTTGGCCTGATTCTTGAGCATTTTAATGTACATGCATGCATGACTGTGTTAGATACACAATGTGATATATTACCATAGGGTTCCTTTTTTGAGGGCTTTAAATTTCACAGATTTCGCAATTTTTTCAAGATTTGCAAAAAAGCATCTGCGAAATTCAAATTAATATGGTACAAGATGGCAGACGGCATAAATTTGCAAAAGTTAAATCCACAAAATAAAAATCTGCAAAATCTATAGCCCTCGAAAAAAGGTGCCCTACGGTACTATTCATGCAATTGTTATAGTAATTTACTATTACTAAAGTTTTCTATCTCAGCTCTCTATTGCTATTACTATACCTGTATCAAATTTAATGTACATTTGTAATTTTTATTACTACTATTGCTATTACATTTTACCCCATCCCTGGTCACCTCAACCATTTTAACCACGAAAATTTCCTAATCCGTACGTATGTGCAAGCCACATATGTCAATGAGAATTATTTGTGAACAACAAGCATGATGAGTGCCTTCTCTTTTAAGTTTGTTCTCCAATTTTCAATTAAAATTTTTGAGCCACACCCACTTAATTGAATTCGAATTCCCTTTAATTTTTTGGATCCACCTCTGAGACTGTACAAGTACATGTACATGTAGATGATGAAAGATTAAGCTTCAGTTCCATTTACATGCTATTTGTATTCTAGGCAGGTGTGATGCAGTGCACAGTTCCTCCTGAATTTGTTCCTAACAATTACTTTAGTTATTGTCTGTCCTATTGTGAACTTCTCTACAATCTTCTTCACTGTTGTTGCCATTATCCGATCAATATTTGTAAGTTGTAAGCACACACACATTATACACACACAACTATGTGTAGTACCGTATAGTAGCTAGTAATTTTGGGAGGAGTAAATTTTGCAAGTTGCTAATTTTTGGTGATTGGCAATTTTTAATTTGGAAAATTTTTGGTCATGTACCATTGAATAATGAGCATGCACATACATGTAATGGCTCAAATGGCAGATTTTTATTTTTTATTTTGGCAAATAGCATACGGCCATTACCAGCTATACAGTCAGTGTGTATCTGTATGTTTTGTAGCTTCAACTAGCTTGTATGTGAACTCCCTCCAAATTTTATTGAAGCTTTCGGCTATGGAATGTATTGTCATAGAACAGTACCATCTATGCCATAATAGCATGGGTTGCGTCTGGCCTGCGAGACTAAGCATGTTATATGGGTGATTTTCAAGAGCTAATTTTTTAAATATAAATGTCTAAAATTCCTCACCATAATAATGGTAGTAAAGTCATAAAAATAATACTTATTTACATTATAATTAATGATTTTTTGTAGTCTTGGGTGCATAGAGCAAAAGGTGTAGATTATATATTATTTGCAAGCTAAGAGGTTTGGTCAAGCTGCTCTCATATTGGACATCATTGCTCTGCTCTGGTTATTTGCTTGGGGTTTCTTTGTACTGTCATATTTAAGCTACTTTGTATACATCATTATGTTTTTTTACCAATTTGAAATTATTGTTATTTTGCTGTATAATGTTTATCATCTTTATTTGTGACAGTTTATTTTTAATAACAAAATCACTGATTGACTGCACAGTAGCTTATTATAAAAAAGAATAACTGAGTTTTCTTGATAAAAATGTGTAATAGGGTTTCTGCAGACTACATAACATAATTATGACAAATACATTTTTGTTACTGATAATTAATTTTCTTCAAGTACTTTAACAGCTTCATTAAGGCCTAAATATTGAAATACTTCAATGAGGTCAGCGAGTGATGAATTAGGATAGAGCTCTTTCCACTTTTTCAAGAGACAGTATCCTTGTATGTCTGGGTCTGTGAAATTATTCTGAATTTGTTGTAAACAACTGTCAGGTATTCCTAAATATCCAGCAAGTTTTGGTAACTGACCCAAGTGTGATGAGCACTTCATTAAAACACCATCTAGTAAAAATCAAAAAATGGCAGTGACATAAAATACAATATCAAAGATCATTATTTCTTATATATAGTGATAATATTTATTTACTTGATACTCTGCCAGTATTAGAAGACATAGATGAATTATGCCACGGATTTGCAAACAGACCATTAAGAAAAGTGATTACATGTATAGACACAACTATCATGGTATAGATGTGCTGTTGTTGCAGTGAGCCTACAAGTTTGTATAGCAAATTAGAATACAATGAAATTCTTACTGGAATCATGTGCTACAAAAGTATTGTTAGCAACGGAAGGAACTTGAGAATAAGAAGCTGCTCCTATAATTAAATCAATAATCACTAATCTGTTAGTATAACATTAATATATACTTATATACCTCTGCTGGAAGTGTTATCTTTGCATGATGAATCAATGTCAACAGAGGCTATGATGACAATCATTTTAGTTTAATTATTTTAATACACATACTTGTAGTTCCTTTTTGTGGAGATGAATGAGGAATACTTGTATTACTTCCAGAAGTTCCAGGATTAATAACAGGTGTGTCACTAGGAAGAGGCATACTTGGTTCATCAGTACAAACTGATTCTGCTTTGGAGGTGCTGGGCATTGGTGATGTGCTAGTCAATGCTACAAGTGGTACATTGGTAGCACTTTCTGTATTAATAGAAGGTATAAAGAAATTAACAATGTACTTATACTAAATTTAATGACAAAATTGCTCACTGCTTTGTGTCTCAGGAGACTTTGATCTATCAGTTTCATCTTGTGATTCGTCGTCACTTTTATCTTGTGATTCATCACCAATTTCAGTACAATTAAGACCTATTACAAGTGACAGTCAGATGGTAAATGATAAAAAGTCATACCTTTTGCTGCATTCTCTCCTAAGAATGCTTTAATTTTATTTATAGCTCTCCTATTGTTCAAATCATCAAGAGCCTCAATCACTTTATTCCAAGTGCAATGAATATTAGACTTTGATAACCACATTTCAACCACTTGTGCCAAATTTTTTTGGTTACTAAATGCATCTGATTGTGTCAAACTATTCATAAAGTCACTTGGCAAATTGAGATAACTGCCAAATGTATACAATTCATTACTAGATATTTCGCCAGATAATAACTTTAACATCTCCTGTTTTAATGGTTTTCTCTCTATTTAATGAAAAATAGCAATGATGCATGCATTATTATAACTATACTATAATACTAACCTTTAAATTCAAAAGAGAGTGGCTTTGTGAGTAAATCAGATAACTGCTTCTTTTCTTTGGATGATGCAGAATCACAAGACAAAGCCAGATTCTATGGAAGATTCTATTAAATTCATGAGTAAATATAACTTACCACCACATTGTGGCCCGTAAAAATACTAAAAGATTGAATGTGATCTCTTACTTCCTTATAAGAATTAAAATCAGCACCTTTCATTATATCAGGACAGACTAGGAGTAGGCAGTCCAAACGTGATTGGTGAATTTTATTGTTGGAAAGCTCAGCATTAAATAGCTCCTGTGTTACAAATGGTGGAATGGATAAATAAGGCTCAAAACTGTCCAAAATGATATCGATTGAATGATCGTATTGTCCACCTTCATCAGACACTTGTTGCCGTAAAATCATAGCCTGAGACTACATTTTGAAGTAGAAAGAGAGACATATCTTCTTTTTTTAAGCTGCTAACTTCTTTTTTTAAGCTGCTAACTTCTTTTAACTGAGAAGGATTGATAATGTATTCCTTTGTTGCACATGGACTTAGCCTATCCATCAGTGAATGTATCTCAGATATTACTGAAGCAAACATTTTTTGTGCAATTAGGCTATCTTTGTCAGATATGAGAACTGTAATGCAACGATCATCTAAGGATACTTGGACTAATACCTCTATGTTGTGACTTATCCAATGAATGCCATCTTTCCATATGGTACAGCGACGATCTAACTCTTCAGACTTTCTGCCACTGCTAACATAAAACAAAGCTAGGCGAAGGATTAATACATGAAGA